GCCATGGCGGGACCCCCTGAGGGGATGGGGGGATCCTAAAGGGATGGGGGTTCCTGAGGGGATGGAGGGGCAGCCATGGCAGAAACCCCCGAGAGGGTGTGTGGGGGTCCCTGAGGGGATGTGTGGGCGTTCCTGAGGGGATGGAAGAGCAGCCATGGTGGGACCCCCTGAGGGGCTGTAGCGGGGTCCCTGAGAGGATGTGTGGGGGTCCTGAGGGGATGGGAGTTCCTGAGGGGATGGAGGGGCAGCCACAGCGGAACCCCCCCCCAAGGGGATGTCGCGGGGTCCCTGAGGGGATGGGAGTTCCTGAGGGGATGGGAAGATGGCCATGGCGGGACCCCCACCCACAGCACTGGGCTCGGGGGGCAGTGGCTGGAAGGCGGCCAAGGGCAGCAGGCAGGGCAGGGGCAGCAGCGAAGGCAGGAGGGGAAGGCAGGGAGCCATCGCCTGAGGTAAGTGAGCCTCGACAGCCCCTCTTGAGGGGAGCAACAGGGGAGGTTCCATCTGCCTTGGCCTCGTGTGCAGTTTAATGTACAGGTGGAACAACTGTTCCATGAGGAAAGGCTGAGAGCGCTGGGGTTGTTCAGCCTGGAGTAGAGAAGGCTCCAGGGTAACCTTGGAGCTCCTTCCAGTATCTAAATGAGGCGTACGAAGTCCTCGGCAGGGCCTGCTGCGATAGGATAAGGGAGATTGGATTTGAACTAAATGAGGGTCGATTTAATTTAGATATAAAGAAGTTTTTTATGGTAAATGAGGGTCGTGAGTCCCTGGCACATGTTGCTCAGAGAAGCTGTGGCTGCCCCATCTCTGGAAGTGTCCAAGTCCAGGCTGGACAGGGCTTGGAGCAACTTGGGATAGTGTAGGGGGTTTGGAATGAGAGGAGCTTTAAGGTTCCTTCCAACTCCAGCCAGTCTGTGATTCCATGAAAGTAATAATTTCTAATGGGCGAAGTATGGTCTTACATGAAAAACTGAATAAGGAGCAGCTTTCAAGCTAATAAAATCTACCTTTTAACTGCTCCATTTGAGGAATAATATGCTAATGCACACCATATTTCTTCCTGTTATCATGCTGAAGTATATGTCCAAATTGGAAGGGAATTCTGCAGAAAAAGACCTCTGCTTTTCAAAAATTCATCTCAAGTTTCAAGTTTTATTGATTTTCTTCCTCACGTTGCAGGATGCTGATGGAGACTTTGGAGCTGTCACCCCTTTTGGAAGATGCCAAGGTTGTGATCTCTGCTGCTTCCCTACAAAGTCCATCCCACAGAGACAAGGTGTGTGCAAGAGCAAATCATCACACGTGG